GTAGAACTTTTTTATTCACTTCAAAATGTTGAGTTCTGTATTTTACAGGGTAAGTATAAATCATGAGAAAAGCATTTGTCTATTCCTGATGTTTTGTATATAATTGATATGTTGCCATCAAGAGTTATAAATTGTTTTTCTGTATATTTAGTATAAATGTTTGACCATTTTTGCCTAATTCATTTGTTATAAAGCACTAATTAAAAACTAGTTTATTAGCAAATCCTGTCACTGAATAGATGCCGTTTCACAATGATCCAAACATTACACTCTTTAAAAGAGAGGGTGTTTTTATGGTGATGTCTTGAATAACCTCAAATAACCTTTGTGAATAAAAAAAAAAATCTTTAAAAACATATTTTTCCCAATATAAAGACCATTATGTGTGACGGATTTCATTGATGTTAAAGATCGAAAGCCTTGATGGCAATATAAAGCCTTAATATTTTATTTATCTAAAGGTAACCTCAGAGGTTGGAAATACATTTTCAGTAAAAAAAAAAAAAAAAAAACATTAAATGTGGAAGAAATGTTTTATTTATAATTAATTTCTAATATTTTCTAGGGCTCTTCAGCTCTCGAGCTTATAAGTCTCATTTTTCGTCCTGTATCTATATACCCGTGTTCTTGACAACAACTTCGCGCAAGATTGCTTTCTCCTCGCCTCGCTTGTGTAGTATTTCCATGACTCCATCCACTCGGATCATCAGGCCTGTGTTCTCCTCTTCGCCCCAGTCTATCAATTCGTCCCAGAAGTCCCAGGACATCCAATAATCGTCGTCGAACCATGAAACGGGGGATCTCTCTCGGTGGTGAGGGGTCAAATCACCAACCGCTGCCAGCTCTACCTGGCAGCCTTCACTGTCCAGTTCCCCGCTTTCCGGGCTAGAGGCGCTAATATTGTGCCAGTAGACCACAAACCTTGGTCAGTGTTTTGTAGAACTTAGATGTGCGCGACCTGCGTGAGTGTGCGTTTAAGAATATGTTCTATGGAATGCTATTGCTGTCGCTGGAATTCCATTTTCAGGATAATCCAAACGAGCGTGCTCTATTGAAGTTTCTCCCGCAACGATTTCCGCGGAAACGAGTTATTTAAATTCTTAAATCGCTTTGAATTAAGGCATTAAAAGGGTCTGAAATCAGAGCAGCAAGTCTTGAATTAATATAACAATTGCATTATTTTTGTGAGGAATAGTTAGCTGATGTTTTTTTCATTTTAAGGTGAATTTCTGCAGTAAGGATCATTAGTCTTCGTCATTGGCTTATTCAGTGTTTATTGAGAATATTGAATACATTTAGAAAGTCATTCAGAGATGTGATTATACCATTTATAATTATAAATTTCCATATTTTCCCCCTACCAAATCAACTCATGTTTATTTTTATAGTGCTTTTACAATGAATATTGTGTCAAAGCAGCTTAACTTAGAAGTTCTGGTAAATTAAAACTGTGTCAGTCTAATTTTCATGGTTGAAGTTTAGTTCAGTTCAGAGTGGTTTAATTATCACTGCTGAAAGTCCAAACTCTGAAGAGCAAACCCATCGATGCGCAGCTACACAAGTCCCAAACCAAGAAAGACAGTGGCGAGGAACAAACTTCACCAATTAACAAAAGTGAAGGAAATAAAAAACTTGAGCAGGCTTAGTTGAGAGAAATAGCATCGCCATTTCTCCTTTAACTAAACTTCTTGGTCAAGCTTCTTCTGGAGGCTGGAGAACGCTGGACGTCCATTGTGGAAAAGCTGCAGGTGTGAGTAGGTCACCGTTGGGTGTTCAGGCTGGCCCACAGGATGAATGCAGAGACTCCTCTGTCACTGGGGTCTTTCAGGAATCAGTCTCATTCTCTCCCATCCTCCATGACCACCGGAGCATCAGCTTAGGATATGGCCTGGTCCAGGATCATACCTCTCTTCGAATGTGTTGTCCTTAAGCGCCTCAATGGTTGGCATCATCTCTTCACTTGGATCGCATCAATGGCGCTGTATAGTCTTAAGAGGCCTCGGAATGAGTATCCCCAGGTGGAAATAAAGAATAAAGAAAAAAATTAGCATAGCTGCTGTTCATAATGTTCAAAAAATATTAAAGATATTAAATAGCAATGCAAAATGAAGTTCCATAAATGAAAATAATAGTTATATAAACAAACATAGAAACAAGCATGAGAAGCATATGAGTATTTCTAACAAAATATCTGGTATATGAAGACAGAAGAGTTTGTCCTACAGGTGGTTGTCAAGCCAGCTCAACGTTGTGGAGCACACTCATTCGTCATAATGTCATGTGATCCATTGAGTGTATGCTTTACTAAAAAGATCTTTAATCTAGTTTTGAACAGAGAGTGTGTCTGAGCCTCTGACAATATCAGGAAGGCTATTCCAGAGTTTATGAGCCATAAATGAGAAGGCTCAACCTCTTTTAGTAGACTTTGCTATTCAAGGTACCACCAGAAGCCCTGAGTTTTGAGATCTTGAGTGGGTTGGATTGTAACTAGACAAAAGGTTGGTTAGATAAACAGGATTCACTCTAAAAAGTAACTCAAGAGGTCTGTAACCACTACATAATACATTATTGTAACTTAAAAATTCCAAAATGCTGATTAGATTAAAACTTTTAAGCAGATGCTCCCCAGAATAATTTAATTAAGTTTTCAAAACATGAAAATATTGATAATTACATAAATTTAAAAATGTGGCTAATTTAAAGGTAATTATATCTGTCAGTTCCTTTAAAACAATATTTAACTTCTAGCAACCCAATAAAAAAAATGTTTCCACACTAATGGAGTTGTTTTGTATTTTTAAGTCCCCACACTGTTTTTTTATTATTTTTATGATAATATGGGACAGTACATGTTTTTGTTTTGTAAAACAATAAAAACCAAAAATAACTGTATTTCTTACAAGCATGAACAGTAAATTTGAAAACAAACTAAAATGTATTCATTTATTTGAGGTTCTAAACTTGACAATATGCATGTAATTAAGTACATAACACAGGATTTGTTTTCAATTTTATTAAAGAAAATGTAAACAACTTGTTTTTTTGAGTACTCAACTTAAAAATTTGAGGTTTTGCTATGTAAAAATGTCTCTGAAGAGGAAAAGATTTGGCTAACATAATAAAGTTTGTTGTCTGAACTTCATTTTGTTAGATGTTGTCATAACTTGAATATATTAATGCAAGCTGTTGCGTCAATTTTTTTTTTGTTTTGTATAACAATATTTTTTAAAGTGTTGATTATTTAAAGCTTTATAGGTAAGAAGTAATATTTCATAATCAATATGAAACTTAACAGGGAGCCAGTTTAAGGAGGATAAAATTGGGGTGATATGGTCATATTGTCTAGACCTGGTAAGAACTGGCAGCTGCATTTTGAATAGCTGAATTTTGTTAATAGAGGATGCTGGGCAACCAGCAAACAGTAACACAGCCTAGAAGTCATAAAGCATAAACTAGTGTTTTTTTTTTTTTGCATCTGAGATGGATAGCATACTTTGTAACTTAGCATTATTTCTCAGATGAAAAACTGTGTTTTTTTTGACAGGGGAGATATGATTTTCAAAAGTTAGTTGCGCCATCTGGCAGTGGTGTTTGGAGCTTTCTCTAGACTGATGTAAATTAGTGAGATGCACCAATTCATTATTGTGTTTATTTAACAACACTATAAAACAGTTTCATTTTTTTTTTTTTTTCGGTTTAGTCCCTTTATTAATCATGAATTGCCACAGCGGAATGAACCAACAAGTTATCCAGAATATGGTTTACACAGCAGATGCAGAAATGCCAACTGGCTAAGCTGGGACTCGAACCAGCAACCTTCTTTAGGCAACAGTGCTAACCACTGAGCCACCGTGTCGCCCACATGTATGTAAATATTGAACAGATAAATGTTATTTCCACACTCAAGTGGAATCAGAGGTATGTATGTTTACATACACACACAAAAATATATTTTGAAAGATGTTAGAAACCTGAAACCACTGACTTCCATAGTAGGAAATACAAACATTGTGGAAGTCAATGGTTACATTTTTGTGCCTTTCATCAATATCGCTATCTTTGTGTTCAACAAAAGGAAATAAGTCAAACAGGTTTGGAAAATAGGTAATTAAATGATGACAGATTTTAATTTTGGGTGAACTATGCCTTTAAGAATTTGCATGCAGTCTACACAATTATTATTATTTTTGGATCATTTAAACAAACATGTTATTCAATACAAATTAAAGCCGCGTCATTCATAATGCCAAAGATTGTGTAATTTATTTTAGAAATAAAGATAACTGATTTAGTAAGAAAATTATTAACTCTTAAATCATCGACTAAACAGTCAAAAACCAAATGTAGCCTGTTGTTGTTTTGATTTGTCATCACACAAAAAAACAAGTTTGAATAAAAAAATTATAAAACTATGCCGCCAAAAAATATAGATATAGTGCTCAGCATATATAAGTAGACCCTTCGCAAATCTCTCTTTTAAAGTAATATTTTTAAATAGGATACAATAGTATATTTGTGCTTATACATTATATTAGTCGGTACTGAAGCCAAATCTGGAGCTAATCTAACAAACTCCAGAAATCTAACAATCTATAACTTACGATAATGGTCCAAAAACTAGTCAATCCAAATGTATATATGGTAGAATAATATTAAATACAAATTTAAAAAGAGGAAAAAGCAAGAGAAGCAAAAAATAAGGATAGTTAAAATTTAGTAGGTTGTAATTTTATTTGCAATATTTTGCTTGAATTTAATCGTATTATCTTTCAATTTCTAAATGTTTGATAACTTAAATATTATTTTAATAAATATATTTGTTTAATAAATCTGTTTTGTTGAAATCCCCCAAAAATCTAAATTCACTGAGAAATTGATAAAAAATATAATATTTGCTTTAAATTTCTGAATTCCCAAAGTTTTGAGAAGGGGCACTGGTGAGAAGACTAACTCCGCCGCCTTGAGTTCCCGTCATGCCTCGGACGAAGCAGCGCTGAAGTGCCCGTGGGTGTGTGTGTGCGCGCATGAGGACAGAACACCAGTTGCTCCCGAGTGTGTTTTTGCGTGTGAGCGAGCTGCACTTGTCGTAACCGACGGATGCTCAAGAAAAGAAACCGTCCGACAAAAGAGGACAGGAGTGTAAAGAAAAGAGCAAATACTGAAAACAGCATGAGAAAAAAAGTGGTTTCATTAGAAATGGTGAGTAGAAACTTTCGGAGCAAAAGTTTGCGCGAGCCCGAGCCTCTTTGTGTTTAAAGTTTGTCATCGAGGCCTCGTGTTATTACATTGACGCTGTGTCGTAGTAAAACATGTATACTCGTCAGCAGAACACTGTTTTGTCGTCGTCTAAAGGTAAATGTCTTTTAAGCGCTTCTTTTTGGAGATTTTCGTTGAGTATCATTCATCTGTCTGTACTGAGAAGTGTGACGTATGAGATCAGGAGCAGGAAAAGTTTCGCTGTGATTTCACTTGTGGGTTAACAAATGATTCAGCGTCAGTAATGGTGAAATAGCCAGCATCTTTATCTTTATTTGATCAGAAGTTTACATATCTGTTGTATCAAAAAGGTCAGTGAGATTTCGTATTTCCGATTGGATGTTTTCAGTGTTTACACTTGTCCTCTGGTGTGATGATGAGGAATGCGGGATGGTTTATCTGTTCGACCATTACATTCCTTGAATTCTGCTCTGATTAATGCCTGATTCGCTCAGGACACGCGCTTCACCAGGGTCAGCTCTGCAGAAGGGCTGAGTTTTGTTCCTGAGAAAATCAGTTTGTGCTAGATGACTAGGCATGTTATGCTGTGTAGCAGACACTTGCAAGTAAATCAATTTCTCACAGTTTACTTGTTTCAAGTTTCTTCTGTTGAACACAACAGAGGATGTTTTGAAAAATCTGTGGAAACCTGCACCCTGTATTTGTTTATCCTACTATGGAGGTCAATAATTACAGGTTTTCAGCTTTCCTCAAAATATCTTCTTTTGTGTTCAACAGAAGAAAGAAACTCAAAGGTTTGGAACCTCCTGAGGGTGTGAGTACATTTTTTTCATTTTGGGTGATCTATCCATTAAATCTAAAAGTGACTAATACACATTTCAAAAAAACTAATTGTCTTTAGTGAGTCATATTATAGATACTAGTGACTTATTAAGTACTTATTCATTTATCACTTTAAAATAAATCAAAATAACCTTAAACTGACTTAAAACTTTTAAAATTAATTTAGGACATGATTAACTTAAGTTTAATAAGTTACAATGAGCTAAAAATGTATGTTATCAAGACTAATTGATCATATAGTTTTACACTGTAGTGATTGCTTATTATAATAGTAGTTTTAAGACTCCTTTTGAAGTTTTAATTGCTGATGATATTATTTATAAAACAATTTTATGTATACAAGGCCCATTTTAATTGTTTTAGTATTTTTGCCTCTTTTGGTTCAAGTAAAATTGAGTAGGCATTGCTTATGACTTCATATGCAGTTTGTAACTAACGTGATTAGAAAGATTTCAAGTACCGAAGATGACAGGCTGAAGCATAAGTAATAATAACAAGTATTTGCAAGCTAGATATTAATAATAACTATAAAGATGTTCAAATGTAGTTATTTCAAAGTAATAAAAAATATTTCAAAGTAATCTGGTATCTAAAAGAAATGAAAGGCATAACATAACATTAATAGTTTGTTAGCAGTCATAAACTTGCAGGTAATATGGAGCTTAATCTCTGTAATTCTTTGCTACTATTCTAAATCATTATACCTGTGATCAACAGCTCACCAAATTCAGCCAAGGCATTACATTTAAAAAAAAAAACTTTTTAACAAAATGTTTTTAAATTCAAAGCTTGGTCATATAGGCAGTGAAGTTTTGTCTTAATAATCAGTGATTTATATTATGTACAATATGTATTCAAATGTATAATGGCCATCTTAATTAAGTATTAGTGTTTTTAAACTCCACACAGAAATGTCAACTGACCCAGCTGGGGCTCGAACCAGCCACCTTGCTGTGACGCGATTGTGCTACCCACTGCGCCACCGTGATGCCTCAAATTTAGATTTTCAAAATTAATAAATAATATTTTGAAGTAATCTGGTATCTAATTAAAAGTAAATGCCACTAGTATCATAAATGGTTTGTTAGCAGTCATAAACTGGAGCTCGTTCTCAGTCATTTTCTGCTACTATTTAAAATCATTCTACCTGTGATCAACAGCTCACCAAATTCAGCTCTATCGCAGCAGATTCTCACACAACCTTGTCTTCTAGTAGTAAAGTTCAGCGTCTCTAAAGGTTACATGTAATCTTGTTTTTTGTGTGTGTGTGAGAGAAACGGGGAGGCTTTCTGTATTTTATCTGGCCTGTCGATATGTGAGAGGGGGAGGTTGGCTTCATGGTCAGATGCAGTTTGCAAAGCCTGCATTTTCCACACAGTAACAGAACTAGTAAATCAGTTACAGTGTGTGTAAACAACTTCTCATATTTTGCAGCTGCTGAGTCCCATTAGCACTCCATGCCAACCAGAGAGAAGCAGTTCATATTAATATAAACAGTAACCCCTCAATTAGCTTTTCATTTCAGAATAATAGTTTTTAGTTTTTAAGAAAAGCAAAGATGGAGGAAGAGTCAAATTTCATGTGTCTCCGTGTAAAGGAAGGAGGGTGTTTTTGTTGTTTCTACCCTGCTGCAGACTGGAGCAGCCTGCTTTTCTCGTTTGACAGATAAGCGCAAACCTTGGCTGCGTTTCGCTTGCCTGTATTCATCTCCATCCAGCAGATGATTGAGGAGGTGTCAATCAGCAAGAACGATGCATATTGTAATGAACCCTCCTACTGGAAGCTGCTATTGCATAACTGCTGAGGGAGGTCTGGGGGTTAAGTGTGGCAATCGTTTATGCATGTAGTGAATTCTTTTTATTTTATTTCTGGGTCCTCAAGCGATTTAAAATGCCAGGTCAGTGTCTATCTAAAATAATGGAGCAAATTAACACCGTACAGTAACTTGTAACTTGAAATTGGGAAAATTATTTGAAATGGATTTTATTTCTCAAATTCAGTTTTATTACAGATTTAAAAAATGTGATGGGCTTATATAAATATGTTCAAATGTTCGCATTTTATTGTACTAATTTGTATTGCAAACCAAACACCATAGAAACAGTAAAGTCCCTTTTTTAAGCATGTTTATTGAGGGATTGGGCTTGGATTGAACTGCACTGGTGCCGTTGCCCTGTGGCTGCTGTCACATCATCCAAGTGGATGCTGCACACTAGTGGTGGTGTGGTGAGACCCCCCTCATAATTGTGTTCCTCACTCATATCACTCAGCCCTTAGGGATGTAACTATTTACAGTGAGCTTATCTAGCATTTGTTTTACACAGCAGATGCCCTTCCAGCTGCAACCCAGCTCTGGGAAACACCTAAATTCTGTCGCATTTACACACATACACTACGGCCAATATAGCATATTCATTTTACCTTTAGCGCATGTCTTTTTTGGGGGAAACCGGAGCACCCAGAGGAAACCCAAGCGAACACGAGAAAACATGCAAACTCCACGACTGACCAAGCCGGGGCTTGAACCAGCAACCTTCTTGCTTTGAGACAACAGTGTCAACCACTAAGCCACCTCACCGCCCCTGCTATCTTTTAAAAAAAACATAAATTTCTTCACAACTTGAAAAGCCACCCTCAAATGTTTTTCTTTTCTTTAGATACAAGTAAGCCACTGCTCTGTTCAGGTTTATAGCAGGCTTTGCATGTGATCAAATGATCAAATATGTGATGACTGAAGTCTCTTGAGATGTTAAAGGGTACATCATTATCAAGACCTCTAAGGCTTAATATAACAAGTAATGTCTTTTAATGAAAAATGAATTAGAAACCCAATAGAAGATTTACTTTGTTTACTTTATTTTACAAGACAAAAGTAAAAAGTCTTTAATTTAATCCATTTTTGTTATTGACATAAAAAATGTAAGTGTCTGCTCATGCAGCTGCATTTGAGAAAGAAATATGCATCCTAGTCAATATCCTTCTCATAATAGAGCACATTATGTGTTTATGACCAGGTTTTGATGGTTTGCTCTCTCATTTGTGCTAGTCTTTATGAATGAATGCGCTGTTTGAATAGCAGCTGAGCTCACACATTGTCTGGGCACTATTAAGCTTTTTTGTTGGTGTGTTCACAAGGTGTATCGTGGCCTTCACAACCATTGATCACTGTAACAACTGAAGTGAATTTCAGGTGAATGCTGATGACGTCAAAACAATGTGTACATTTGAAGCTTAACAAGGTTGTAGTGTGCTTCACATAGATTTTGTGAATTCTGCAACCTGTTTCTCATTCATTCATTTATTCATTGATTTTCTTATCGGCTTAGTCCCTTTATCAATCCGGCGTTGCCACAGTAGAACGAATCGCCAACTTATCCAGCACGTTTTTATGCAGCGGATGCCCTTCCAGCCCTAACCCATCTCTGGAAAACATCTACGCACACTCATTCACATTACGGACTCTCATACACTACAGACAATTTAGCCTGCCCAGTTCACCTGTACCGCATGTCTTTAGACCACAGGTGTCAAACTCAGTTCCAAAAGGGCCGCAGCTCTGCACAGTTTAGTTCCAACCCTAATTAAACACACCTGATCAAACTAATTGAGTCCTTCAGGCTTGTTTGAAATCTACAGGTAAGTGTGTTGGAGCAGGGTTGGAACTAAACTGTGCAGGGCTTCGGCCCTCCAGGAATTGAGTTTGACACCCCTGCTTTAGACTGTGGGGGAAACCGGAGCACCCGGAGCAAAACCACGTGAACGCAGAGAGAACATGCAAACTCCACAAAGAAACGCCAACTGACCCAGCCGAGGCTTGAACCAGGGACCTTCTTGCTGTGAGGCGAAAGCACTACCTACAGTCAGAAGCCTATACGGGCTTATTCTGCCTATTTTCAATTAGCTCACTGTAAATAGTTAAAGGGCTGAGTGATATGGCCAAAAAAAAAAAATACCACACTAAAAAGTTTTATCGCCCACCTGTTTCTCATCCTTATGTAATTCCAAACCTGTAAGTATGACAACTAATACTGTGGAACGTAACAGAAGGTATTTAAAGAATTTCTCTTTTTTGGTTAATGTGATGAAAGACTGGTGTTACAGGGTGCTTTTTAAATTCTTTTTTTTTTTTTTTTTGTATCTAGATCTTCCTCTGAACTCCACATAAGAAAGTGAGTCCACCCCACAGGAGTATTTGACACCCAAGTGCTACAATTCACTTTCCTACCCTAGAATTACCTTGATCACACAATAATGATTCTTCCTCCGTGTTTTGTTAGAACACACCCTTAGGTGTTCATATGTAATGTGCTATGTGTCTGTCACAGTGAATTTCCTATAATTGTCGTGAGTTTTCCCTATATACAGTACATGTTTTATTTTAAGCATTTGACTCAATATCAGTGTTGCCCAATACTACATGCAAAACTATTTAAAACAGCATTTCTCATTGTTTTGTCTGTGTTTGACATGTTGTGACTTCATAATAATTGAGAGACTTTATAGGGAATTTAGAAAGGCTTATGCTTTTTTCCTTATGTTTGAAGGCAACTGAAAAAATACTTTAATGATGTCCACGGGGTCTTTAATAGTCTTAAAGAGTCTTAAATCTCAAAAATAAAATTTTAGGCCTTAAAGTCCTAAATTACTTGTAGGTCTTAAATCTTTTTTACACGGATCTTAATTTTCATTTGTTTATGAAGAGCCACTCAATCTGGCCATTAACACTCCTACAATCACCAACAATTCATCTTAATAAAACTTTAAGTTTATCAAGTTTAAGTTTAAACTTTAATAAACTTTTTAAAACCTTACATTTTTATTTAAAAATATTTTTTTTTATTTCTAGATTTGTTTAAAAGTTCCCCATGTGTTTACTGTGAGGACACTGACCTGGACAGACTGTTGTACATACATTTTAGTTTATTAGAGTTTTTAAAACTTTTAAAACAATTGACCATTTTTTAAGTTTTATTTTAAATTTATGCTGAAAAAAAGTATGTATATAACTAGAATTAACTTGTTTTGACATTATTTTAAAAATGTTGCTATGAAAAAACTAAATTATTTAAATGTTTTATTATTAAATTAACTTTGGTCAATGTAAGATCCGTTTTGAATAAGACATTCATATTAAATGACTTTTTCACTGCCAGAGATTTGGATTTCTTATTTCTGACTGAAACATGGGCAGTTGATGGGGACCTTAGTCCATTCTCTGAACTTGTCCCAGTAAACTGCACTTATTTTAATAATCCGAGGCGCTCTGGCAGAGGGGGAGGTCTTGCGTCGATTTTTAAAAAAACATTTAATTGCCAGCCCGTGCGTGCTGATGCTTTCTCCAGCTTTGAGCTACAGATGTTTCAGATAAATGAACGCTCAGGACCTGTCCTATGTGCATTAATTTATCGACCTCCTAGGTCTACTAAAGACTTTATTAAACAGTTTGGGGACTTGTTGAGCAGTATTTTACCTAGATATGATAATATTTTAATTTTGGGTGATTTTAATGTTCATGTTTGCTGCCCAAAAGACAATTTAGCTAAGGATTTCTTAAATCTTATTGACTCTTTTAATTTGACACAGCATGTGCAAGGGCCCACTCACAACCAGGGGCACACATTGGATTGTGTTTTGACATATGGTCTATCAATCTGCAATGTTGCATTAGACGATATGGCATTTACAGACCATAAAGCAGTCACTTTTGAGATCACTTTTACCCATGAAATAAGCAACTCTCCTATTGTTTTCAGGCGATTTAGTAGATTTAATGTTTCTTCTATTGATCTGTTTAAAGATTTGTACATTAATGAACAACATACAACTATGCTAGAGGACCCTCCCTCTTATATGGATGTTGACCAGTTACTGGAATTGTTCAATTGCTCTTTTTCTTCAATCTTAGACTTTGTTGCCCCCGAAAAAACTAGAACTGTTAAGCCTAGATCAGAGCCTTGGCTAAATGAGACAACTCGGGCATCTAGACAGGCCTGCAGAAAGGCTGAACGCAAGTGGAAGAGAGATAAACTGCAGGTGTCATATGAGATCTTTAAGGAATCTCTCTCTAATTATCAGCGTTCTATGAAGGAGGCTAAGAGGAAATATTTTTCTGAATTAATCAGTACTCATCAAAATAAGCCTGATGTTTTATTCTCCTGCATAAGTTCTGTGATTAACCCTGGGTCTAATGTTGTTATGGAGGAGTCATGTGATACATGTGAAGCTTTTTTAAACTTCTTTACGGAGAAGATTTCTTCAATTAGGTCTGGGATTGCTAGCTTTGATATTGTTTTTCCGGAACCGGATGTGTCCCCTGCTGCACTTGTTAGCTTCACACCTGTCTCTCTTCTATCTCTGACTGATACAGTAGGCAAGATCAAACTTAGCAGCTATCCATTGGATATTTTTCCATCAAAGTTTTTTAAGCAAGCCTTTGAGATTATTGGCCCTAGTATTTTATCCATTATAAATAGGAGTCTTGTTTCTGGTGTGGTGCCTTCTCAGTTGAAACATGCCGTCGTGCAACCTCTCTTGAAAAAGCCTAGTTTGGATAAATCTGTGTTGTCCAATTTTAGACCTATTTCTAAGCTACCCTTTTTATCTAAGATTTTGGAGAAAACAGTTTTAACACAACTGCAGAGCTATCTGGAGCTCAACAGTATTCATGAAGTTTTTCAATCGGGTTTTAAGGCATATCACAGTACTGAGTCTGCACTGCTACGTGTGTTGAATGACATTCTGTTATTTAGGGACTCGGGGCACTCTGTGATCCTTATGCTTCTTGACCTTACTGCAGCTTTTGACACTATAGATCACGAAATCCTTATTTCTCGTCTTGAGAGATTAGTGGGCATTCAGGGCTCTGCCCTTAAGTGGTTTAGATCTTATTTGTCAGACAGAAGCTTTTGCGTTAATGTTGGTCAGACTTTTTCATCCTCCAGACCCCTGACATGTGGAGTTCCACAAGGGTCTATACTTGGACCTATTTTATTTTCTTTATATATTTTACCTTTAGGATCAATTTTTCGTAAATATGGGGTGGCTTTTCATTTTTATGCTGATGACACTCAGATTTATGTCCCTTTTAAAAGTAGGGATAAAAAGGAGCTTGACTCCCTTATGAGATGCCTAGTCGAGGTTAAGAGCTGGCTTTCGTCAAATTTTTTAAATTTCAATGAAGAAAAAACTGAGCTGGTCTGGTTTGGCCATCCTAATCCTTTGCATTTATCAGGTTTTGGTGAGCTTTCCACTTATCAAAAACCTGTTGTTAGAAACCTAGGATTTCAATTCGACAGTGATCTGAAATTTAACAAACAAGTAAATACAGTTGTTAAATCCAGTTTTTACCATTTACGACTTGTGGCAAAAGTAAAGTCGTTTCTCTCTTTTAATGACCTTGAGAAGGTGATCCATGCTTTTATTCTGGGAAGACTTGACTATTGTAATTCTCTGTATGTGGGTATTAGTCAAAATGCCCTAAACAGATTGCAATTAGTACAGAATGCAGCTGCGAGACTTCTGACAGGGACTCGCAAGTTTGAGCACATATCCCCAGTTCTTTCCTCTCTGGGCTGGCTGCCTGTTAGGTCGAGAATTGATTTTAAACTATTGATCTTTGTTTTTAAATCCTTAAACAATCTGGCACCATCATACTTATCAGACCTGCTTCACGTATACAATCCTGGTAGGTCACTGAGGTCTTCTGATGAATTTGTTCTATCTGTACCAAGGTCCCGGTGTAAGCGAAGTGGGGATCGGGCTTTTGCTGTTGTCGCCCCAAAACTCTGGAACGGGCTTCCGCCCCACATCAGACACGCTCCAACTCTACCGGTTTTTAAAAAGCGTTTAAAACACCATCTTTGTTCCTTAGTGTTTGAGCCTTTTTAATGTTGAGGGATTTGCCTTATGTTTTAATTGTTATTTATGTGATGTAGATTTCATGTTTAGTATTGATTGTGTTCAGCACTTTGGGCAACGTTGTGTTGTAAAAAATGTGCTATATAAATAAATAAACTAAACTAAACTAAATTATTATTGTATTATTACATTTATGTCTTAGAAATAAGGCGAATGATGTTATTTATCTAAGCAGATCTGCTTTATTTTTGCTTGCATTTGAATTTGTCTTTTGCTCTTGAACTTCTGACCAAAACCAAAACCAGTTTGCAGGTTTCAGAGAAGAAACAGATCGGTTATTTTACCCTGTTTTCCAAGTACTGAACTAGACCATTATTTTCTGTAACCTTGACCTGCTCAGTGTCAGTCACTTACTTGAACCCTCTGCACACACTACTTTATAAAAATCATTTGTTTTCAACTAAAACTATATTGTATCTTCATATTACAAGTTCTTATTGGCGAAAAATCATTTTTGCATCTAGAGGTCGCGGTACACCATATATATCAGGGTCTATGATTAAATTATTGTTACATCCTTAATAAAATAGTTTGAAAGGAGAAACATTTTAAGACTCTTTTGCAAAGCAATTGTAATGTTTTGGTCCCTTACTAAAAACGTGCATTTCTCAAGCTAAATTATGTACTAGGATTAATTTAATTGACTGAATAATGATCTAAAATCAGACTGAATCAGAATTTTTTTTTTTTTTTCAGTTTTAGAGACATGGAAAATTTCTGTACAAAATATTAAAGGTTAACTATATCTGTTTTTTTGGGTATACCTGTATCCCCTTGCCCACTGCCATTTTTGGGATTATTCCCAAATCATATGATCTTACAAATATACAATCTGATTGCATAGCTTTTATTGTGCTCTTGACCAAAGGACCAATATTGCTTAGATGGAAGGATCAGAAAACTCCAGTACAGTGGCTCTTTGATGTCCTTTTTTCCCTAAAGTTGGAAAGAATTAGACTGTCTAGACGTTCATCTAACCAGTTTAAGTAGATTTGGGACCAGAACATATTCAAGAACATGTGTATTTGGAAATTCCAAGATGCTCCTTTACATAATCAATGCAAAATGAACTTTCTGCTTTTGTGTTTAGGTCTGAAGTAGAATATTCATCATACGCTTGGCTGTATCTGCTTCATGAGATACCAGGCATGACCCTCTCTCGGCACAGATAAACCTGCTTCCTCCAGCCTTCAACCTGGTTATTACTGTGTCCACAGGTCAGTGCTCTGGCTTTCTGAACAGTACAGCTGCTGAAGAATGACTTTATTTCTGGGAAGCAGCAGCATTTTTTTTAAAGTGATGCTCATTTACAATGCATTTGCAAAGTTTGAGCTATCTATATAATGATCCTGTAATTTAAGTTCTAAAACAAAAATGCCCTGTACCCAGGCTTTGTTTTATGAGTTGTGATATTTTTAAGTAAAATCAGCAAATATTTTGATTGTTTTCAGCATGAGTAAGCACTTTTGCTAATGTAATGATTGAGTTTGTATTGGAAATAGATAAAAATATATGCAATGCCAAACATCTCTGAATTCCCGAAGATGATCTGTTTTAACAATTTAATGATCCATTGCCCGCTTAATTTCTAAATCAATTTGCTCTTTTGAATCCATTATTTAAATGAACGATTCTATGAATCATCATCAGTGTGCTGCCACCTATAAATGGTTAAGGAACGTAAATTTATACATTACAGGCCTAAATCAGCCAAGGTGACCGCACAAAAACACACTAAGCTAAAAAATGGATTAACTGCAGTATTTGAATTACCACAAAATATTAGGTTATACTTTTCTCTGTCAATATGGGACCTAGCAAGAACGTTTATTAAACTGATCAGGGTATTTCTATTGCTACAAAAGCTTCAAAAAATGGTCTTTTGAATTAACCATTTTTCAAAAAATCCTTAAAGCATTAATAATTTATTGAGAGAAAATAGCACATCCAGTCTTGACTTTCTTTTTGTTTTTCAGAGCATAAGATGGATGATATTGATTATTACAGAAGCAAGCCTCTGGCAGAGGAATCAAATTTCCAGACCACAAACTATGACGCCATCAGTATTGACGGTTGGACACGTCACCTGTTTAATTGATGTTACATGTGTATTATCATCACAGCACTTGTTTGTTGACACTAAGGCAAGTGTATCTCGTCATCTACACAGAATGCCATTATAATGTGCTGCGTGACGATCTGGAGTCCGATGCTCGGGACTTTGAGGCTCCGACCTGGAGTTTAGCTGTTGACCCACAATATTTGAAAAACTTTTCCAAAGATGCCGTCAAAAGACAGGATGTAATACACGGTAAGGGACTGTGGTCTATTTTTGTTGTTTATTTGTTTATTTGTTTTTCATGAAATAATTTGAGCCATATTTATTTTAAATGGCTGTTAATGTTGTTCTCGCAGAGCTGATTCAGACAGAAATCAACCATGTGCGGACGCTAAAGATAGTTTTGAATGTGTACATTCGGGAGTTGCGTAACACCCTACAAATGGATGAGACACGACTGGAAAGGCTGTTTCCACAGGTGGAAAACCTGCTGGAGGTGCACCAGTTTTTCCTTGACAATCTTAAACTGCGAAGACTTGACTCTATGGAGCCTGGAAGCTCCCAGAATTACTGCATCCACAATCTTGGGGACATCCTTATCACACAGGTACCATTATTATATAACTGCTGTAGGATATTTATAGATTACAAATGTGATTCCGGACCACAAAAGCAGTCTTATGTGCAAATTGTCCTGAAAGCTGAATACATAATCTTTCCGTTGATGTTTAGTTTATTAGGATGTGAGCGGAGTGGAGCAGCAAGAATTTCCACGCTCAAACTATTTTCTCTCTGTCTCCACTCCTCTCCGGGTTTTCCATCCGCATATGTATTTCAACAATAAATGCATTGTAAAAATAAATTCATTTAAGTGTAAGTACACATTAGTTAAGGCCACCTGTAATAAAGTGTGAGCGTTTTTAAAACATGTAGTGTTGCATTACTTAAACTTACTTTACATTTTTATATTTAGTCTCTAGTTTAAAAGTAAAATAAACACCTCAGCTTAGTTTGCAGTGATCATTTTGTAAGGATCAGTATACATTACTTAGGATTCGACCTATTCTTCAGTAAAGGCTGTATATTTTGATTCATAAATAATGTAAGTTACGTTTAACATGTTTAAGATGATGCGGTGCTGGATTGAGCTCGGAGTGAGAAAAAAACACAAAACTCAAGACTTTCAAAAATCAAGTCCTTGCTCCAGCCCAAATTTCACAGCTCTGCCCGCTTACTCTGGTTAGGATAGGACAATATTTACCAGAGATACAACTGTTTGAAAATCTCATCTAAGGATTAAATCAATCTAAATATTCAAAAATCAAATGCTTAGCAATGCACAATACTAATCAAAAAATAGTTTGATATATTTACAGTTTGAATTAAAAAAATCCTCAATAGAACATTATAATAACTTCATATTCTGAAGATTTTTAGCAATGAAAGAAAAAAATTATTTCATTTTGACCCATAAAATGTATTTTTGGCTATTGCCAAAAAATATTACCGTGCAACTTTTGTGGTGTTGGGTCACAAATGTCTTAAAGCTTAGACTTGGTCAGCACATCTTATGGTTACAAGCAACTATGCTTAGTTTGATTCTTGATTCACTCATTTGTCGATCCCATTCATTTTGCTCTACCCCATCTCTCCTATCACATCTCTACTGTCTTATCTGCAAACCTTAAAAAAGCCCCACAAAATCAGACTTGAAGATCAATATGTAGTTACTATATACAACAAAATGCATTAGACTTTTTTTATTAGATTAGACTTTGATTTTTCAGGCTGCATGCTATGGATCAGTAAACTGTTATAGCCAATGTCCTCCTTTATATGATTTTTTTTAGATCCACATTCCCCAAAGTTGAGCTAAGCGGCAGGTGCTTTCTGAAATGAATGGAATTATTGTTTCTGCATTCAATAAGGTTATTATATAGTTGCTCCAAAAAAAAAGTATTTGAAAATGCAAGCTGTACCTAACATGTAAATTATAATAAGTACTTCTATTATTAATTATAAATCATATTTAATTATAAATCAACAATAACAATATACAATACTATAATATAACAATATACACTACAAAAGACTTTTCAGACTACAACATCTTGTAATGAAACTGGTTTAAAAAATATATTCCTAGATTTTATTTTCCATGTAAAATGAGGATTACTAAAGTCTTCTATCTAGTCTAATTTAGTCAAATCCATATAATCTGTTGTCTCGAATATTTTTGTAATCATACAATCTATAGCAGTGTACTTTGTACTACCTTGTCTGTCTATTTTATGCAGGTAACTTGTAGACACATTTTTACATGTACAGCCATTTAAAATGTGCATGATTTAAAAAATAAAATACATTTCAACATTTGCTCTTAACTACTATGTACTTACATTTAAATTGATTATTTGGTACAATCCACTCATTATATACATGTTTTTGCATTGAACTTATCTTTTAAAACATTATCTGCATGTAATTGTTTAATTAATTTCTGTACTTAATTTCTGTACTTATTGTTACACCGTTGACCCATCCCTTACACCTTAACCCACCTTAAAACTACCCATAACCACCTTAACCTTACCCGTATCCTACCTCAATAGCACCATAATTATTATACTTGTATAGTATCTCGATTGCAGTTATTACATTGCTCTTGTTTCATTTATGTAGCTAGTAGTTAAGGCCACTTATTTTAAAATGGGTTATATGAAAAGTAGTTGTATTTTTTTTCATCATGTTTGACATATCCAACATATTCTATGGTAAACTTAAGACATCTATGAAAAACTTTGAAAAAAAATCTTACTGCGTGAGTTTAAACATTTTGCTCTTTGATTGTCATGACTATGATTTTTATGTGCAGTTCTCTGGTGAAATAGGAAGCAGACTGCGGTACCTCTATGGCATGTTCTGCAGTCGTCACACCGATGCGGTCAACTTCTACAAAGACTTGATGCAAAACAACAAGAAGTTCCAAAATTTGATACGAGTAAGACTTGACGTGGACATCTGGCCAAAAAGCAAAAAAAAAAGAATAAAGTTTTTAAATAATAGTATGTTGAATTCAGTGAATTCTTCAAATTTTGACCACAACATTCTTTTATGTCTTTAGAAAATATGTCAGCTGTCCATTGTACGGCGATTAGGAATACCAGAGATTATTCTCCTTATAACTCAGCGCATCACTAAGTACCCGGTTCTGTTTGAACGTGTCATTAAGTACACTGAAGGTATGTTTTTCAATGCATTCAAGAAGAAAGATTTGTTCTGAGTTGGTATAGTTTTTATTTTTTTTTTTTGTGTAAACAATTCAAAGTGCACTTTAAATTGTAAATGCTCATTTCTGTTCAAAGGGGATTGTATTCTTTAAAGTTACTTATGATGTGCCACAAATGCTGCATTTATTTGATCCAATTTACAGTAAAAAAAAAGGAGCTTTAAGAAATATTATCTAAAGAGAACAATTTTTTTAGGCCCCGTTTACACTAATGCGTTTTAGTTTGAAAACGCATAAGTTTTGCTACGGTTACGCCATCCGTCCACACTACGCCGGAGTTCTCGAGCGCCGAAAACGGAGCGTTTCGAAAACGCTGGAGAGGCCGTTTTCATTCTAAAACGCTGCAGCTCCGTCTCAGTGTGGATGGGGAAAGACGGAGATATCTGAAAACGGAGGCGGGGCTGCAGACATTCGCCTCTCTGATTGGGGCTTTTCCTCAATATTAAGTAGCCCACACACACAGTTCAGTCCTGAATCTTCTCCGTGTAAGTTCAGACTTCGCAAGTTTGATCAAGGCTGCATCTCTTCTTCTCAGTTTGATATGGAAAACATACCGAGGACACGCGTCAATCTTCACAGGGAACAGTGTACTTTATAACTTCATTCACATCACCTTGGCTACGTTGTTTCACTTTCTCAACAATAAAATGTAAACTTGATATAAGGAACTGCCTATTTTTATTTTAATATTAACAACTAAACAGACAGCAGAAATGTTGAGGCGTCGTGCTGCATGAGAGTCATCTTCACTGTGTGCATATTTATAACAAAACGGAGCCGATAACAACTGCCTCCTTTCAATTTCAGTGAAAATACGAAACACACCCTCTCTTTTGCTGAATATCAGTTTTAATAATCGATAATGGCCATTATAAAAGTATAACATACAATAAGTTTATACATTATAGGAAATAAAGGCAAGCGATCAGTCAATATACAGAATGTAGGCTACGTGCTTACATTAATCATTAACTTATCTTTGCGCTCAGCCAAAACACCTTACCTGAGAACAAGTAATAGATTCCAGTGACCAAAGTCAGGGAATATGTCGTTAGATAAAGACAACAAGATGAATGAAATATCACGTTTAATAAATATAGTGAGAGTAGATCCAGCGGGAGATGCTTGATGAGAAGTCCGACTAGCAGAGCTCTCATCTGGGTAGATGGGCTCCAGCGATTGCCAAAGTGTGTGTGTGTGGTCACGTGATGTGCGTTTTCAGCGTTTTGGTGTGGACGGAGAGCAGTTCAGAAACGCTGGGTAAAACGCGAGTGTGGACGCGGATCGTTTTCATTCTAAAACGCCGTTTTAAAACTAATACGCACTAGTGTAAACGGGGCCTTAGACAGCATGTTTAGAATCACACTTAATATAAATACCGAAGGCCTTTAGGTAGCTTTTTTTAAATGATTCTTTGGATAATATGATACTCAAACATTAAATACCTATATGTATGAATGGAAGCATGTAGGTTAGCTATATTACAAGGTGTAATTGTGACATTTTGTCAACACCCCTGTATTTAATTGGCACATCAAAGGTACATCTAAGGTTTTGTTTGTCTTCCCTTTTGCTTGACTTGAGATTAAACCATGTTTTTTCAGAACAGAGAGATTCCCGTGTTTCTGTGTAATTGATGCTCATTGTAACAAACACAACCAGAACATGCAGGTTCATTAGACAGCATCAATGAGAGTGCATGATTACGTTTTTTTTCCTTGTTCTTTTGACAGATGAGTCAGAAGAACAAATGGACCTGATAAAAGGGCTGGACTTTCTGAAGGACACCATAGCACAAGTGAATGCTCATGTGGACGAGGCTGAGAAAGAGGCACGACTGAGAGAACTTAGCAGTAAACTGGAGCCCAAGTCCCAGGTGAAGATGACCAGTGGGAGGGTGTTTCGTCGAGAGGACATGCTGCAGGGAAAGAGGAAGCTGCTTCATGAGGGCATGCTCAACTGGAGGGTCACGAACAACAAAGGCAAAGGTGATAAGCATACAGGTGAGATAAAAATTACAGCTGGATTATCTAGTAGTTGTTTACCAATCTTGATTTTAAATGACCGATTCCTGCAAATTCCAATAAAAACATGAGAACAAGCAGTTTATTTGCTGAAATATCTGCAGTCATTTTAAATTACAAGCACTGTGATGACACTCCATTAGCTTTGATAATTGGAAAATTAGGTTGTATAATTTTAAAATCTAAAATAAAAGCATAATGATTTGACTAGCTTTTTGAAATTATTCTACATAAAAACAAAGGGACATAACACAAAAAAATTGATGAGCTGAATAAAAATGCTAATTTACTCTCTTCCATTAGGTGGTACTAAACAGCAGGTAGAGTGGTGTATATGCTTGTATTCCAAATGCATTATTTTAAGGAAATAATAGTTTATTTTTCTCAACTAGAAATATCCAGCTCCAATGACATGATCGGAAATCGGGCCCGATTACATGGTTTTAGACTCAATCAAAATCGGATGTTACCTCCTGATCAGAACTCAAACATATATATATATATATATATATATATATATATATATATATATATATATATATATATTAAAAATACCCTCGAAATATGTATAAATTCTCATTATTTTTTAACACAACTATAGGTATGCAGTGTCAAAGAGTAAAACCTCTTTCTTGACTTCACACAGAAGCAGCTTGAGGCGGAAAGCGCAAGTATGTCTGCGTTCTAGAGGTATCATAAGGTTAATGACAACAACAATGCCGTTTCCAACTTTGCCATTGCCAACATTGTAAGATATGTTAACTTGACATTGCAAGAGGTGGAAAGGAAAAGGCTAGATTTAACACAACAAACCTGATGAGAAACCTCAAAAACAAACGTAGAACCTTGATTTGAAATTGCCGCTTCACCACTATTTCACAGAGTAAGCTCTGCCAGCCCTTTATAAGAAGATTTCTGAAAAACCACCTGGTCTGTTATAAGATGTACCCCATGTTTTGTTCACCACATATAGTTCATCCGTTGCTCCCACTTCTCTACCAAGCCTTACCACACAATGCAATGACTCCATCCTGAATCTGTTTCTTCGCTCTTCTTTATTCTTTTTTTTATGTATTATAGAAGTATCGGGTCGGGTTTTGGTAGATACTCAAAATCAAATGACTCTGACTCAAAGACAAACAAACCTGATCAGGACATCCCTATTCTCAAACTGTGGGCTGAGTTTTACTAGTGGGCCTCAGCGATCGTGCAGATGGGCGGCTAGATAGCTTAAATTTAACTTTAATATTATGCTATAATTATTTGATTTTGGGGCATCACGGTGGCGCAGTGAGTAGCACGATCACCTCACAGCAAGAAGGTCGCTGGTTTAAGCCCCAACTGGGTCAGTTGGCATTTTTGTGTGGAGTTTGCATGTTTTCCCTGTGTTCGCATGGGTTTCCTCTGGGTGCTCCAGTTTCTCCCACAAGTCCAAAGACTTGTATTTTGGGTAAATTGGGTAAGCTAAATAGTCCATAGTGTATGTGGTGAATAAGGCCGTACTTGCACTAGGTATAGTTGCCTCGAACCGGGCCAAAGCACGCTTGTCCCCCCTCCTGTCTCCCCCGACGGCCCACAAACGGGCTTCGGCACGCTTACGTCATCGCTGCTGCGCTGTTCAGTGAAGCGCTCTCTCACTCAGCAGCACAGTGGAGATTTCTCTAGTAATATCGTTTCAGTCGTTTGATATGCCGTCAAATATTTCGCCAAACAGTCCTTAGGGATGCGGGGACATCATAAATCTCTCGTGCTGCAGGAATGAGGAGGTCTGCTGAAGGCGCGCAGCTGTTGTGGAGTGAGGAGTTTGCGTCTTTTATAAACTACGGCAGTTTGCGTTCACTGAACAGTAAGAATGATTAATAAATCCATATGAAACAGTCCCTTAAAAGTCACGTCTCGCCTTCAGTTTCAGGCTTTGGCGCATTTTGCACTCACACACAAGTGTACCGTGCCAAAGCCCAAGTGAACCGCGCTCAGGCCCACCTCTTCCAACCGGGCCAGGGCCGGCCAAGTGAACCGTGCTTGAGCCCGATTCAGCGCACTCACACTTCTCAAACGATCCGGGAAACGGGCCTGGGCACGGTACGGATGGCATAGTGTGAGTAGGCCCTAAGAGTGTATGAATGTTTCCCATTGATGGGTTGCAGATTGATGGGACATCCGCTGCGTAAAACATGTGCTAGATAAGTTAGCGGTTAATTCTGCTGTGGCGACCCCAGATTAATAAAGGGACTAAGCCAAAAAGAAAATGAATGAATAATTATTTAATTTTGTTATTAAATATGTCATTGTAAAATGATGGAAGTAATGACATTTCCCGTTTTCTTTGATGGATTACTTTTGGAAAAAAACAGCCACACTGTTAAATACAGACCTAACTGCAGCTTAAACTTGTTACTGCTGCAGGCCAGCTAGGACTACATTTTCAGTTGTTTAAAGCAATCAGTCAGGCTAATGTAAAGAGTTATAATTACCAGCTCACGTGTTCCTCAGGTCTACGACTAGCACCTTGTCAGATTCGCACGAGTCCGTTGATTCACAAACTATGTGTGCTCTCTTTTTATAAACACTTTAAAATATCTGCATAGTAGTGCAAAAGAAAGTTCTGCGAGTGTTTTATAACGCTCACTTGCTTGTACAGAAGGATCTAGAGAGATTTGGTAGTGTTTCAGTAGTGAACAGCTGTTCACTGTTCCTGTCAGCGAACTCCCAATAATATCCAGCAGCAAAACAAACTACCTTTAGATTGATGCGTTTCAACTGGTTTAGAGTGTTTTTACTGTATTTTACATTCTTCTGTTTATTTATTTCATGGATATGAATAATAGATCAATAGTAGTCGGTCCAATATATATAATGTTTCGCTCTTTATAAAATGCTAGGTTATGCTGTTTAATACACCCCCACATTTTTGTGGCTTTGTCATTGTTGGGATACTCTATTAAATCTGGAAGCATTAACAACTGATAATGAAATATATATTGTTATTGCTCAACATGCAAAAGAATTCATAGAGACTGCATTTTTGCCATATCGCCCAGCCCTAGTGAGGAGTCCATTACAGCAATCAAATCCATGTTTCTGAGATGATAGTATGCTGATTTAGTGACTGATTTGACGTGACTGAAACTTAGATCTGACTCAAGAATCATACCAAGATTCTTGACCTTATTTTTTGCTGTTTGACCCCGAGAGTTTTTACTGTATTTTACATTTTTCTGTTTTTTTAGTGGATTTGAATATTAAATCAATAGATGAATTGTAGTCAATCTAAAATATATATAATGTTTAGCATTTTATAAAATGCTTTAGAAAAATAATAGAATAAAAGAAGGCAAAATTATTTAAAATAAATGTTTTGTTAATGAATAAAGGTTTTAAATAAGCATTTATTCTAGACAATAAGTTTAAGGGAAAATGTCATACAGGTGGGCCTCCAAAATATTTTCACAGAAAAGAAGGGGTGAAAAAGCTTGAACCCCTGCATTATGGGGAGATCATCTAAACTTTTCTGGAAACTGTTGGTTCCATTCATGGATACCCTTATTATCCCACAACCATGTTTAAGATTTTTTCCCCATGTTTCCTATGCATTGTGTACAGTGAGCTTCTTTATCCGTCATAGGTGCTGCTGATACGTGTTTCTGTCTGGGTTTTTCAAATTCAACCATAGTTCACACATAACATGACATTAAAAGATGTGTATATTAAGCCTGTGTATATAACATCAATTATAAGTTTTTACTCTAATTAGCTGCATTTTCAGCACCTCTTAAGACTTTCTTTAACAGACTTTGTACTATAAATAATGGTAGTGCACCTTTTGATTGAATTAATGTGAAAAACAGTTACTGGCCGGTCATTATGGAAAGTATTTAAACGCCCTTAAATATTTCATTCTTTGTTATATTGCAGCCATTTGCTAAAATAATTTCAGTTGCTTGTTAATGTACACACACAATATTGACAGAAAATCACAAAATTGTTGACATTTTTGCAAATGTATTAAAAAGAAAAATGTATTCAGCTTCTATGTGGTATCCTGTTATTTCCTGTCACTTGTTGGCTCATATGAAAGGTGACTGACATTTCTATATATTCTCTCATATGCCTTCAGATGTTATCGTCTTGCTGTTGTCTGATGTTTTGCTGCTTTTACTGGAGAAAGATTCCAGGCTTACCTTTGCCTCTCTGGTGAGAAGGATGTCATTATTTGCATTTCTGTTATGTGTAATATACAGTTGTCTTTAATAAGTGTCATCTGCCTGTTGTGTGCGCCTGTAGGACGGTAAGCCTGCTGTGATCTCTCTGCTGAAGCTCATTGTACGTGAAGCAGCTCACAACGAGAAGGCCATGTTTCTTATCTCAGCTTCTTTGGACACTCCTGAGATGTACGAGTTTCACACCTCCTCTGCAGAAGAGCGCAACACCTGGACAAACAAGATTTGGAAGGCAGTGGAGTGGTGCGTTTATACAAATCTTTTTAATGCACATTAAAATATTTGGGGTTGATTTATTTTTTTTTCTTCTTTTTTCCTCTCACTTTGTACACATTAACTTTTTTTAAAATGTTGAAAATGGTCTCCATCAATAGCCTAGTGGTCGGTAGACCTGATACATAATCAATATATTGACTTCTCGGACAACACATGAATATGACTTCAATCATTTTTGGTGATGCAATATATATCGCCCATACATAAACATCTCTATCTCTATTGAAGGTGTCAGTGTCAGTATGCTTAAATCGCAGCCTCTGTTACGTTGCACTTTTTTTTTGTTAACATTTATTGTTATTTATATAGAATTAGCTTTTTTTCGCATTCTGATTCCAAAGCCTAATTATTAAATTGTTAAAATGACTATACTTTAGTACTTGCATTGATACAATATTCTTGCATATGATATTATATTGGCACTCTGGTGTTATATAATGAGTGTCATAAAATGCAATAAATTTTGCTGCGATATATCGTACAACACAAAATAGATATCTTGACTCGTCTAATGATCAGTGCTCCAACATTTAGCGGAACTGCACTGCAGGCGTCCTAAATTAAAATCCTGACTCTCAGACCTTTTCCAATTACCTCTGTTAGTACACCCGATTCCCGATTACCACATAATATACTATACTGTTTTATCATAATAAACTTTTTAAAATTTGGCAAAAATGCCAATAATAAATGTTTAAAACAATTTTTATTGACCTAGCTACTTTATATTTCTGTGGAGACTGATATATTTATATTTCATGGATTCTATGTGAAGTAGATCTTTAAAAAAAAGTGTTTCATTGATATCCTTTATAACATTATATGACAGAGTTGTCTGTTCACCCTAAATGAAATAAACATTTCTTTCAAGTATTTTATTTGACCCCAAACTATAGTGTATATTGTAATAAAACGTAATTCATTAATCATAGTTCTTAGTGGGGATAATGACATGAAATTGAAAGCTTATTATCCTATGCTGTCCATCGGAGGCAGCTAAAAGTGTGAGATTGTTACAAACGGGCAAATAGTGAATAAAATGTATCTAATTTGGTTAATAATAAAAAAAAATGCTATTAACCATAGAAATAGTAGCTATTGACTTCCATAGTAAACAAAGCATCCATAAAAAAAACAAATACCATGGAAGTCAAGGTTTCCAACATTTTTCAAAAGATCTTCTTGAGTGTTAAAGAGAAGAAACTCAAACCGGTTTGGTAAAAGCGAAGGGTGAAACGATGATGATTTCGTTTGTTTGGTTTTTTTTTGTATTAACTATCCCTTTAACAATCACTTCTACCGTATGATTTAGTTGGCTCACATTGCTAGTTTTGTGGAGAGCAATTCATCTGTGCATGTCATTAAGAACAAAAAAATGTTTGCCCTTTTAATCTAAAATTAAAATCTGAAAATGCACTTTCTGTTTGTTTTGAGTTAAAGTCTCAGATAACGTCTGTATGAGGCCCCTTCAGCTGTCAGTTTTGACAACAAACAGAAATAGTGAGCTGGAGGAGTCTGTTTGGTTGTAACAACTCTTGTGAAACCTCTTTACTGATCTTTCTGAATGAAATGCCTACTTTACTACATCTAATCAGCTCAAAGTAAAAAAGAGCCAAGCCCACTGTTTTCTCAATTATTATTCTGTTTATCTAGGAACTACGTCACAATATTAAAAATAAAAAATATGTTGCAGACTCCGATTCATGTAGACTTTAAATTTATTTTTTGACGCCACTCTAAGCTAATGATAATCTATGGTCAAAAGGTCAATCAGGCGGTTATGATGCCTGTTAATGGGTCAAGATTTATTGTAAATGTTAGCTAAATATTAATATTGTTTCTAACATTTCTTTTTTGACGCCACTCTAAGCTAATGATAATCTATGGTCAAAAGGTCAATCAGGCGGTTATGATGCCTGTTAATGGGTCAAGATTTATTGTAAATGTTAGCTAAATATTGTTTCAGCTGTCCAGACGTAAAGGAAGAAGAGCCAGAAGAACTCCCTAAGAAGATCTGGGAATTTCAAAGTAATGTGCAGATTTACTCATTCACAGTCTGGGATTTTAGTCTTCCATTTTTCTTCAGTAAAATGAACAGATGTCAGTTTTAACACTTGCTTTTTTCTGAGTAGGAAAGCTGTGTGTGCACGATGCCTCGATAGAGCAGCACCTGACAGAGAAGCTGAAGTTATTCTCCAGCATAGCAGCTTCAGTGACTGGTGTTTCTGACACCTCGACGAGTGAGCGCCATCCGCTACGTGGGAATGCAGCAGAGCCCCTGCAGGGAGAACGACTACTCACCGGAGCCCTGAAAGATGGTGAGATTTACACTGCACAGTACAAATGAGAATTTCACTATTGACCCCTTAATGCTTTTTTCAGTCCTTTGTGCATTTTAAAAATGGGTTGCGAGTTCTCAGCTGATTCAGTAAGACAACAGCCATACAACTATGCACATATGAGCTTGTTTAGCCCAGTACACAGCATTGTTTGGATTAATTTACTTTTTTTTATTCAATTCAATCACCTTATGTTTCAATTAAATACATTTTCCTAGGTTGGGCATTCCTTTGGGCCACTACTGAATAAAATATTAAAGCATGGTGAATTTTAATTGAAAGTTTCAATCCCTTTCTACAGTGGAGAATCTACAGAACTTGCTGGTGATGTGTGAGCAGGGCCCAACTCCTTTCACTAGTAAGGCAACAGATCTGGTCCTGAAGAAGCCCCATGCTGACACAGGCTTGGAGAACAATACTCACATGTTACCTGAAAGTAAGACAAGCTTTCTGCAACATATCTACTTTATTTACCAAATGAATGTTTATTTAAGCAATTGACAGATGAACCATTTGTTTTTTTTTAGATGGTTTTGAGAGTTCAATGGAAAGCATGGGAGACAGAATTCAGGTGGCCAACCCAGACTTGGACCCTCAGCTAAGAGAACTTCATTTAAGTGAGAACCAGGAGCTGTCGGTGAGCTGATACTACAGTATCACACTGACTGTTTTTCTGTGGTAATGGTGTTAACCAGTCTATTTTTGCTTTTGATCCATTAGGCAGATGAGAATTTGTCAGTTCACTTTCCTAAAGCAGAGGTAAGAGCTAATTTTTTAATGTCTTTATCTAAAGCAACTAATGGCTGACACTGTGATGACTTTAAAGCTAGCTGTTCAGCGTTTAATAAAACTATGATCATTTATTTACAATAGTGACAAGTATGGTAGTTCAAATCAGTTTTAGTTGGATTAAAAAATATTGCTGCTATATTGTATTGTATGTTCTTCCTAACTCTAAAGTTGTTTTAATATACTGTATGTGTGAAAATTAAAAAATGTCCCCTACAAAACATTCCTTTTAATAAAATGTTTGTAAAATGAGCTATTTTAATCAATTGCCTAAAGTTTATAATAGCAGTATACTTTATTGTCATCAGAAGAAAATTTGTTATGGACTATGTATTGCTGTAGATATCTAAATATAATAATAATACTATTACCGTTGTTATTTTACATTTTTTTAACTTTGTTTATATATATATATATATATATATATATATATATATATATATATATATATATATATATATATATATATATTATTTATATTAGCGCTGTCAAAATTAGTGCGTTAACGCATGCTATTAATTTTTTGCAGTCCACTTAGAATCCAACATGGAAATCATTGTTTTCTTTATTGGCATTGATTGTTTTGAAATTTAAATGTCAATAACATGCCTGTGTTTTAATTTCTTTAATAAATATGGCTGTCAAGCCAGGATCTTGATGGTTTATTGTGGGTATGTTGTGTACATAAAGAAATCTGTGTTACAAGTTTAACAAAAATTCTATTAAACAATTATATTTAGAATTTTAATCCTAATAAGCAATTATATTTTGAATTTAAATAGTTTTTGTCTTGCGTTTACATTAATTTTACATTTGAATAGCCAAAATTACAAGTTTCAGTATTAAAATGTGATTAATCGCTATTAATCGCGATTATTTTTTTTAAAGGTGCGATTAATTAGTAAATTTTTTTAATCGATTGACAGCACTAATATATATATATAAATATATATATATATATATATATATATATATATATATATATATATATATATATATATATATATATATAGGTTGCTTTACAATATTATATTTGTGCATATACATTGGTTTAGTCAGTACTACAGCCAAATCGAGAGTTATTCTAATAAAATAACTTACAATAATGCTTAAAAATTAGTAGCCCAAATGTATATGTTAGGGAACAATATTATATAAAATTTGCAAAAATAGCAAAAATCAAGAAAAACAAAAAATATACACAATTTTGTTAATGTTTTAGGTTGTCATTTTTTTATTTAATTGTATTATCTTTCAATTTCTCAAAATGTTCTGTGACTAAAATATTATTTTAATAAATACATCTGTTTAATGCATCAATATGTATTACGCATATTCACTGAGAAATACTCATATGCTGAGCACTGTAGTGTGTAAAAACAAACTTTATTTTGGATGTGATTAATTTTTCTCCAGAACTAATTCAAATTAATTTAACACAACCTGTTTCCTTAATGTTAACTATTGGGATTTTTTAAGTGTTACATTTACAGATTTTATGCTTCAGCATTAGGTTTACATTTGCATCTTTATTTTGACAGCCAGTGTCAAAATACTAACAAAATATTTTTCTCCACAGTTTTATTCCACTGTATCTCAGTTGTCTCGGAAACTCTACAGCCTTCAGGTATTTCACTCTAGTTATTATCAGATAATTTCTTAACTTTTTTTCATTGAGGTCTTATCTGTGTAGACCCACATCAACACAATAGATCTCCGTTTCTTCCCTTCTCAGTCTGTGGTCCAGCAGCTAGAAAGCCACATCAAGGTTCAGCATGCCACTATTGAGGAGCTGAAGTCCCGACCACGGGGAAACTCTCTCTTGGAACAGGAAAAGCACCGGAACCTGCACAAGCAGAATGAGGAGCTGGCCAACTTCCAGCGGCTCCAGAACCAGCGCCTACAGGAGCAGAGACAGTGGGAGCAGGAGAGAGAGAGGCAGATGCTGCAGGCTGAGGCCAGGGAGAAAGAGCTGAGGGAGAGAGAGATGGCATGCAGCAGACAGGAGGAAATGCTGGCTGGGGAAAAACAAGAACTGGCCCGGTGTAGAGAAGAATACCAGCAAGATCTGGAGAGGCTGCGAGAGTCCATGCGCTCTGTGGAGAAGGAGAAAGAAAAACTAGAGCTGCTGAAAAAATATAAGAAAAATGAGAATGTGTCTGCAGTCTATCCGCTTGAAAATGAACAGATACAGGTTAACACAATTTAATTTATTGCATATATATTTCAGTGACTGTAGTTTCAATAATATGTATAGATTTCATACATATTTAGTGCTAATGTTAAACAAAGAATGTGTTTATTAAATAAATTAGAGGGAACTTCTGATTTAAAGGGCACCTATTTGACCTCTTTTACAAGATGTAAGATGATTCTCCAGAATCAGTCTGTAAAGTTTCAGCTCAAATACCCATCAGTTAATTTATTATAGACTCCAGAATTTTGAACTTTGGTGTCTGAATACATTGTAGCTGTTTTTGTAGCCTGTGGGTTTAAAAGCAAATAAGCTCCTTTTCCCCGCCCCCATTCCCATGTGCGTGTTCGTTTTTAATCATGCATTACATCAGATAAACAGCAGTCAGTGATAGAGACTAATACGGATGAAGCTGAAATACAGCACATTAGTCAAAAATACCAAGTATGTTTATTTGATGTATTTGTGGTGGAGTTTATTCAAGCCTTTCCGAAACGATGAGTCTCGCACAAATGCTGACACACCCACCATATATTAGTGTTTACTGACACTAGGGGTGTAACGATTTATTGTTGTACGATTTATTGTGATGCAAAAATGTCACAATATGCATTGTGGCGTTATGACGATTTCATTACGATACGACGTCCGTTTTCTCTTATTAGTTGAGCTGTTTGCACGTGAGCTACGTTCCACCTGCTGTCGCACGTGAGTTCAGATTGCAGCAGCAGTAATGTTAGCAGACCAAGATGAGTGGAGCTGAAATAGAGGATGGCCCATCCTCTCAAAATCAGACGTCTGGCAACATTTCGGTTGTACAGTCATTGCTTTAGACTCGTCCGCTTTTTGACACGCATACTGGGTCAAACATCCTAAATTTTAAAGTCTTCACAGTGATTTACGTACTTTGCACAGCGACAGGGATACCTTCTAATGGTGTTGAAAGAGTCACATACTGTATTTATAAGGTAGAATTCACCATAAAATATCATTCTGTCTTCATATAATGTTCCCGCCGCAAAATCACACATGCCGTGAGCTGACTGTGAGCTGTTACTACAGAGGGCGGACTATGATAGACGCGCGCGCATGGCAAGCCGTTTTAGCATTTAAACCTTTGTTCTGACTATCCATAAATATATTTTGAGATATCTCTAATTATCTCTAAGTCATAATTATAATTCGACTAGTTAGAATGACAATTAGAGATATCTGCAATTACAATTGTACTACTAAAAAATCAGATTGGAGATATCTGCAAATATATTATGACTAGTCATATTCCTCCATTGACTTCCATTGAAAAATATTTGCAGATATCTCTAAATGAGTTTTGACTAGTCACAATTGTAATTAGAGATATCTCTAAATGAATTTAATTAAATATGAATTAAAAACCTGGAAATGTGGATTTTTTTTTTGCACACTCAAAAAACGCAAATGACCAAGCAAAGCATTAAGCTCTTACTGTTAAATTCAATTGAATAGAAAGCTTATTTTTTTGCACCTTTACTTAAATTGCTCCTTAATTTTGTCTCTGTCATTTCAATAATATTTTAAAGAAGTATTTAAATTGTTTTATTTTCCAGAGACAGGCCTGTTTAATTTATTTTCTTAAAGAAGGTTCAGTTTAACAAGTTGAAACAAAAGAAATACATTAAAAATAGTTTACTTGGTAAAATTTGCATTTCAGTTTAATTTTCAATTTTTATTTCAAATATCGTGATACATATCGAATCGTGAACATTATATCGTGATACACATCGTATCGTGAGCTGAGTGTATCGTTACACCCCTAACTGACACCATGTGGCCATGGTGATCATAGCGGCTAAGAATTAGATGGCGATTTTACTGTCTTTATTACAAACATGCTCTGTTTTAAATACATTTTTAAACTTATAAAACTTATAAAAAATCTCAGAGAGTTTGAACAAATATTTAAATCCTATTTTATTTGCAAAAAAATGTTTTGTGGACATGTGTGTACGAGTTTTTATTTAAACATGGTGCCTGTCAGTCAATTCATTGGGCGGTGAAAATTGCATTTCTAATTCACGTTGTGGTGGGCCCGAAAATCACAGTGATTTAGGTCTTATTTTAATGTCAGGAAATTTTAAAAAAGAGACTATTTGCGTTTATATCAATCCAATATGACAGTGGGCACACTATACATTCACACAGGTCTGTCCAAACAGCTTACAAAAGTTGATTTTTATCATAGGTGTTCTTTAGAAAAAAAAAAAGGTTAAAGTTCTTCTCAGAGTGTAAATTCACTAACCATTTCTTATCCCAAATGGTTGTAAACCTTTTGGAGTAAATTTTTTTTCTGGTGAACACAAAGAAGATATTTTGAAGAATGTTGATAATCAGTAGGATTGACAGCCATGGATCAATTGAAGTCAATAAAAAATTGTCATCTTCTGCGTGCTGAATAATGGATGAAAAATGTTAACAGAATTTACATTTTAGGCTAAATTAACTCTTTTATATGCGTTTATATACATTGTCGTAGTAGTAACACAACTTGCATTCTAATCCTACCCATATGAAACGTATATGTGATTAATTAATATTACTCAGTAGATAAATTAATAGTTACACTGTAACAAGGACACCTTAATGTGTAACCCGAGTGGAGTTAGATGGTAGATGGTTTTATATGCATTGTCTAAGGAAACATGAAGGTATTTCAGTTCAAATTGTTTTTAAAATAAATATCACTGAAGTAACTTGTTACAGAAGACAGTATGTGAACTCCTAACTCATTAACTTGTCTTTCTCTCTAGATACCCCCACCTTACCCTATGTTGAACATAGTTTCTCCAGGCTTCACAGAGAGGGCTCCTTTAGTTCCCCCACGCAGAGAGAGCATCACTGGTTCACTTGTTAAACCAGAAGTGCCCATCCACCTCATTAGCACCACCAACCAAACCCTCAAAGCTGGCTCTGTCCAACAGAAGATACCCACCAAACTTGCTGCTCAACCTAAAGGCAAAGAGAAGCACAGCAAACACAGGAACTCCCACCAACGCACCAACAGCGCAGGTAACAACTGCTTGACAAACACTGGCTGATGCTGTTTTTATGGGCTGTGGTTTAAGAATTGTGTTATTAGCTTAAATGTCTTTTCACTTCTAGCTGGCATAGAGGTGTCTCATGTCGTTCCCATCAAAGTTGCAGGAAGGGAGGGAGGCAGTTTAAAAGCCATCAGGTCCAGCAGTCCTCATCATCTCCATCCAGGTAAATTTGATGATTTGATGAACCTTTGTTTTTAGAAACAGTGGCTGTTAAGTGAACTGCAGCCAATTACCTAATACTTCTTATGCTCATATGCGTACAATAATATATAGGATGCACCAAATTTAAAATCCTGGTCCAAAACCGATGCACTTGCCACAGCCATATCACCCTGAAGCCCAAGAATGGACGCTCTCTGAAGCTAAGCAGGGCTGAGCCTAGTTAGAACCTGGATAGGAAACCACATGAAAAAAACTATTGCTGTTTGAAGTGGTGTTAGTGAGGCCAGCAGGGAGTGCTCATCCAGCAGTCTGTGTGGGTCCTAATGCCCCAGTATAGTGATGTGAACACTGTCAGGTGAGCCATTGCCTGACTAGGGTTGTCACTTTACTGGAATTCAATACCAATCGGTACTGAAATTTAAAAAACGTCCATTTCCCACTAACAATTTAGCAATGTTCTTAAACAGCGCTGATTTGCCATTGTGTTTACATGCTCAACAGAAATGACTGTGATTGCCCTTGAAGGTCATCGTTTCACCAAACTCATCGCTGTTTAGTGCATCTAATCACAGATACAGGGATACTGGAGCATTTTAAAGCCACAATTCATCAGCAGATTACTCATATGTCAGCTTATTGACAAACCAGCTGATTGATTTGACTTTGAAACACTCCAGTGTCCCTGTATGTGTGGTTACACTCAAGTAAACATTGGTGAGTTCAGTGAACCAATAACCTATCACAGTCATTTCTGTTGAGAATGTGATCACAATGTTAAATCAGCGCTGTTTAAGAACGCGCTCAACAGCGCTTAAAGAGCTCATATTATGGGTTTTTGAAAATGCCCTTTCATGTAGTGTGTAACACAGCTCTAAGTGAAGTAAAGTATCCAGCTAAGGCTTAAATCTGTAAGAATACAGCGTTTAAAACGGTCGATTCATCTATAAAAGAGTCGACTCATAGTGCTTCAAACGAGTCGCCATGATAACGAGTCATTAGGTGTTTCACCACGACGTACTAACAAAACCAAGTTATTCACGTGCACGCACAAACCCGGGAGATTTCAAACCTGCGGCTCCGCCCTCTGACACAGAAACCCACACACACACACAAACATGCCGGTCGATTGAAGTCACACTGCAGATGGATATTATCGAGTCTCTACCCAAAGATGAAATCTCAGCATTATAACCAAGCAGTTGGAAACTACTGGAAAATACAGGCTACAAAGAATACTTTATCTGCGTTTGTTAAAGTAAGGATCAGTAAAGAGTAACTTACTGATGGACGTCAGGATGGGTTTCTTCCTCCAATTCTCAAGTGTAAGAACGTGCGATTAAAGTTGTTGCCTCGTTGACTCTAGCTTGCAAATGTATTTAATTGTGATTTGTTATTTGTAACCGCGTGTACTGTATCAGGTTACCTGGCTATATTCTCATATCGCGTGCAAAGTCACGTTAAAAATGCGACGCGTGCTGCTTTGTTTACGGAGCTTCGTGGAGGAGGGTAGTGTGTGTGTGTGCGCGCACGCGTTGTCGTCCAGAGGTGTGTGTGTGTTTTTGTGTGTGTGCGCGTGCGCAAGGACAAGAGCAATATGTGTGTGTGTGTGTGTGTGTGTGTGTGTGTGTGTGTGTGTGTGTGTGTGTGTCTGTGAAAATAGCAGAGTGAGACAAGCTAGAAGATCTCCTCAACAGTTTTTTGGAGTTTTTGCTCAATAACATAGTTGGTCGTCTGTATTTACATTGACCTACTGGCAGCTAAAATCCACGCCTTACCCTATCGAGCGCGTATGAACTGTGATTACTTTTATATGGCTGATTAGCTGTTGGGCATTTCACTCTCTCACTGAAGGCAGTCGACCAATCGCAACACTGTCATCGGTCCAATCAGCGCAGATTAGCTTCGCGCTAAGGAGGGGTTTGGGAACAAATGAATCACTGGATGATTCATACGGGAGTCGCTGGGATAATTAGATAAAAATAAATGCAGATTATAAGACCATGAAAGTGTTTTTTGACCTTGCATGCATATTAGACTGTTGTTGGAGACCCTTACAACCAAGATATGACCCTATTTCATGTATAATATGGGCTCTTTAAATGTTCATGGGAAATGGACGCGTTTACAATTTTAGTAACGATTGGTATTGAATTCCAGTATCGTGACAACACTATGCCCATCACAAACCATTGAAATGAATGGGTTTCATATGGCCGAGCTTTTCCGCGTTCAGTGTGAAAGCGGCTTCACTCCACGCCTTGACTGGGCCTGGATTGAGAGTGAAACAAGCATAGCCTTTTTTCGGCTCATATTTTCAGCTGTTTTTCTTTCTTTAGCCACTACTGGGTGATACATTTTTGGCGGGCGAACATTTGGTGCATCCAAGTAAAATACAAGAAACTTAATGTCATCAAATTCCCCGATATACTCAAAACAGTTCTTTTTCATTTTGTACCTAGAAGATAATATAAGTTTGAAATATTTTGTGTTTATGTGCATATATATATATATATTTTTATATTTATATATATATATATATATATATATATATATATATATATATATATATATATGGGGGGGAGTACTGATTATAAACATTCAGACACTGTCGCTAGTGCTGATTAGGTGAATATTATTCATCAGGTGACTCAGAGTCATTGTTTATAATTAGTCATTTGTTTATAATTTCACATAGTCAGAAGTCCAATGATCTAATTTTCTTTCCAAACTCTTCTCACACTGGCCATAAAAATCAATGGGTCTCACTTTAACTAATGAAATCTTATTGTAATGTATTGAATGAATTAATAATAATAAACATGAACTAATTATGAACAACGAACAACTGTATTTTCATTAAGTAACATTACTAACACAAATGCTGTATTTAATGTATCGTTTATTGTTTGTTCATGTTAGTAAATCTATTAAGTAACGGTAACTAATACACATACTGTTGTAAAGCGGTAACAATCAATGAGATAATACACCATACATTTCAATCTTACATGAAACCTCTTTAAACCACTCATACTTGCCTTTCTGCATTAGTAAATCCTTTTCTGTGATGTTTCTGCAGATTTATTTACCCATCCAGATAAGTTGTCCAGCTCCGTTTCTTCTCATTCAGGAAACTCCAGCCGGAAGCACAACCACAGTCATAACTCTCACACTACTAGCACACACAGCACCCATTCAGGACATCGTAAAACCAAAGACAGCCCAAATGCAGAAGACATTTTTTTCTTTTAATTCTCCTGCGTGATCTGTGTGACTATAATACGGATGCAGAAAGTGACCGTTATTTCACAGACATGACCTACACTGGAGGAATTCATGTCTTTCAAAGAATTACAATCAATTCTTTTCTGCTTTTATTCTGACTTAAATTCTGTTGAATTGATATAAGGCATTTACACGGTTGGGTAAAAATAATCTATTTAGGAGGAAACTCGATCATACCTAGCTGAGAGAGTTTAATGGCTCTTATTAAATCGGTTTCATTTTTGTGGTCTTAACAGCTGACAGTATCTCTTAGTATCTGTAAAATCATGTTCCGATCCATTGCAGAGCAGTCATTAATGATTTGTCATTCCTGTAAATAGCCAGTTTTAGTTATTTATTTATTGTGATTTTAATTCAGGGATGTTTGATCCTCTAAGCCAGGGGTCACCAATCTCGGTCCTGGAGGGCCAGTGTCCCTGCAGGGTTTAGCTCTAAATTGCCTCAACACACCTGCCTGGATGTTCCAATTATACCAAGTAAGACATTGATTGGCTTGTTCAGGTGTGTTTGATAAGGGTTGGAGCTAAAATCTGCAGGACACTGGCCATCCAGGAACAAGTTTGATGCTCTAAGCATTACACTGGAAAGTCTTATAATGGTAGATCTATTTAATGTGTGGAATATGGTTTGTTTAAAGTGTAAATGTCCTTTCTGGGCTTCTGTCAACTGGAAACTTGTTATATTTGAGCAAATATTTTCTAGTATTTTAGAACAAATAGCCTTGAATGTTTTTCTATGACGGGATAGATGCGCTTCACTACTAGATGTAAAATGTATCATGGCTTATATTATTTTTAATTTCATTCGAGTGAGATGCTGTTTAGCCTGGAAATGATGCTGTTGGGTCCCTATTTTGTACATTTTTTATTTTGAGAAAATACCAATGGTCTTAATGAGCAATTGTACATTTATAAATGATGCAGAGCAAATACTGCTTTCTTGGTTCTCCAAAAGAGAAAGTTGTGCACTTTTAAGTGCTTGTTAACTGCTCAATTACATGAACAAACATAAAAATGTGTGCTCAGTTTTACTTTACATTACTTGTCTTTACTATAAAAATATACTGTATAATAATGAGATAACAAAACATGTTGTTATACTTGGACACTAGGATGATCTGTTTGTTTTGAAACCCCTTCCCTAGCAAAATAAATCTGCAACAGTCAAATGGTACAAGTTGGGCTAGTTATAAAATCCAATCCATTTCAAAAGTAAAAGTGACATTTTACTAATTAAAATATATATATACAATTATTATAATAAGTAAATGCATATATAGGAAGATCATATTTGAGGGTCTGTGGGAACAAAAAAAGGGGAAATAAGGAATATTTTCAATAAAAAAAAATGTGTATATATATATATATAAATAAATATATATATATATATATATATATATATATGTGTGTGTGTGTGTGTGTGTGTGTGTGTGTGTGTGTATATATACATACACACAAAAAGGAATAGATTGAAATAAATTATCATAAACCTTATAAAAATAAATATTTAAGCTAATTAGAATGACATTAAAGTAAGTGAAAGAATAAACTAGCATAAATACAAGAAATAAATGCAAAATCATAAAACTAAATATTCAAAATAATGTTATATTCCATTTTTGATTGTCATTCTTTTAAAGTAACGTTAGCATACTTACTATACATACTAACTATACTTTATAACATGCTCTTCTGCGCCTGCGTGACTGCTCTTCTTTGTGAGCCATGGCGGGAGACGGTGGGGACGCCTTCAAATTTACTTGAGAGAACAGGTGCATTTTGCGTTTGTCGTTAAATAATAGCAGGTATTTTATGTGCATTTGTTCATTTGGTTTTGCCTGTATTAATGTCCAGTCAATGCCTATTTCTGAGGAAACGAACTATCCGTTGTAACGTTAAACCACGAGCAAACAAAATGGTTAACGTAGCCATAAAATGCTATATGAGAAAATTTTTCAAATACTGTTTCACGAGTTCTTGCGTTTTGGGACAGAAAAAAAGGAAATGAGACGATTAAACTTCAATAAACTTAAATCAACTTTTTTTGTTTTAGATTAATTTGAAGATTTTATCATTATAGTGTTAAATTTGTTACTTCAACGTTATCAACAACAGCACTTTGCTTTAATGTGGTGTGAAAATGCAAAGAACACGTGAAGAGTATTTTACAACTCAATTCTTTGCAGTAACTGCGAATCCTGTTGAAGTATTTAACATGTAAAGCCTCATAAAGCACAATACACCGTTAATAACATAATGCATTAATCCTTTAATATGTGCACTTTGCAACAACTTTGAGAGAAAAAAAATCACACTTTTACAGCATATGTCGATTTCTAATCGAGAGCTTCAGCATTCACAACTGAAGATCTACGACACACGACCTCCAGACTGCTGGAGTTATAATAAACATTACAACTCGTCCAAAGTCATTCCACGTGAACCCAATGTCCTCCCAAAAAAGTAAAACACTGTGCCAAACTAACTTCCATGATTAAACATTTTAAATAAACTGGATGAAATGGTTAAATTATACAACATGTCAGTGCTTTACACTGAAAAAAAAAAAAAACAGTACCATGAATACAAAATGTCTAGTATAAAACAGAAAACCTGTCAACTGATAGATTAGAAAGTATGCTTAAAAACTGCACTTTAAAAGATGCACTTTAGTTTTGTTTTGTTTTTTGACATCTCAAATATCCCTTCCATCAAGTAAATGGCACAATCTAAATACAGCACGTTCAATAAGCCATGAGAATATGATCTATTCCAATGCTACTAAAGCTGAAATCATTCCAAACCCATGAGAAAGTTTTTACTAAATCATGTGGCTTTGCAACCTAAAAACCATCAACCACACCATTCATACCGTCTCTCAGAAAAGATGATGAAGCGAATGAATCGTTCCCGATGCCTTTGGTTCAGTCGGTCCTCACTAGCACCATTTTTTTTTAAAGGATGTAATACTTCAGTGCTGCGATACGGACCAAACCAATCAGTAATGCATTATCAACTAGAAGCCAAATAGAAAATTGTCTTGAACTTTCTCGACATTTGATTTTAAATGTCTAGCTGCACTTTGTTTTATTTACTAACTGCAGATTTACAAAAAATAAAATATACACAGAGCGATTTCCTTAAAAGCAGTTCATCCATTGCCCTCTTAACACCATCAAACATGAACAAGCTGGATGAAGCACAGCCGATGTTGTGTTTCTTCCTTGTTTTCTTCAGTTTGAACACAATTTTAAAGGCTTAAAACAAGTGCACTGAGATGTTCAAACTTCTCAAGTCTATTACATATACAGTCAGATGTATAACCGACTTCAAAAACAAAAGAAAAGAAGAAATCCTTCAAGTGTCTATGTATTAGATGCATCTGTAAGATGTGGAACTTCCTCTTGGGTTGCTGGAGTAGGATCCTCGCGTTGATTGTTGGTTTCAGAGGTTGCCGGTTCTGGATTGGATGGGGGTTCATCTGTGGACGGTCCTGGGGTTTGAGTACAGTTGATTTGTTCCATGATTATAGGAGGAGGCTGAGGAGAAAATGAGAGAAAGATTAAGAATTCGAATAAGAATTCAAATTAGAAATAAATTAAATTATTTGTATACACAGTAGCATTCAAAATATGGGTTCAGTAAGGTTTTTAAATAAAAATCTATCTTAAATAAATGATCTTCCTTTAAGAAAGAAAAGTGTAAGTTTTTACAAAATATTAAGCAGCTCAACTGCAAACATAATCGATAATTATGAGCATATTTGAGTAATTTTTGAAAGACTGAAGTAATGATGCTGAAAAAAGAAAACCTTTATATTAAAATGTAATAATTTTAATGTATTTTTGTTGGTGACTGTACACATCTATATAAAAGATATGAAGACCATACTGTTAATATTCAATATAAATAAATTAATTAAAAAAAATGTAAATCACATGAGGAAGTATTGATTAATTGGTGTTGCCAGATCGTAAAAAAAAGATACAGTAAATTAAAACAACCCCCAATAAACTTAACTAGGGCTGGGCGATTTGGCCTAAAATCAAAACCTTGAATAAATAAACATTAACTTAATTACGATTAATGAACGATTATTTTTTTTTTCTTGACCTCATAGTTCACTAAGTTTTGTACAGTAAATATGCTCACATTTTACAAGTAAAAGATTTTTGAATAACTTAAAATACTTTAAAAAAACGTTAAAGTAATGGAAGAAAACGTGCACCATCTATGATTATTTCTTGAACATCTTAATAGACAGAATGGTATCTCAAGGTATCTCTGGCACAGCTTCCAATTATCATCAATGTAGTGCTAACGTGCAACGTTTTTAAAAGGTGCGCAGGTATACGAGCTCGCGAATGCTGTGCCAAACCATACCAGTGCGTTCGACGCAGAAGTATAAATCAGCCTTAAGAGAGTAGGGTTACATGACTCCACAAACTGTAGGGAAAGTAACTGTATAAATTGATCTGGAAAAATCAGATCAATTAGAGGTTCTGAATGTCGATTTCAATTACTTTTCGATTAATCACCCAGCCCTAAACTTAACTCCATACTTCATCTCAGAAACAAATAACCCACTATACAAATATCATGACCTGAAACCACCAACATTACTATGTCTATAGCTTAGGCCAAAACACACAATAAGTAGACATGGCAACATCTCAAGAGCATGCAGGAGGAGTAAAACACCATGCCTCTGTTGACAGTGGTTCAGTTTAAAATTGCAGATCACATTTTTTTGATTGCGGTAATATTACTTTGGTCAAAAATAGTGGAAACTAACTGCGAATGTTGCCAGTGCAAATTGCCAACCCAATCAGCATAAATTTCAGGAGCGAATCCATATAAAACACTGTCTGAACTTGCCATACTTTCCTACTTATATATATAGTATATAGTATGAGTAAAATAGTATCTAAGCTAAGAATATTTGAAAAACGGTTGACAAGAAATTGGTCTCTGGATGACCAACTGAATTTACTGATGTTCTGAACACTTTATTATCCCATGTGGCAACAAGAGAGAATTTATGAATGAAAGTGCAGCCGAATACAATTCACACTACTCATATTCATAGTATAGAAAACATCCTTTTCTAACGGTCATGTATGAAGTTCAAATTAAAAAGTTTTTTTTGATGTACTTTTCACTGCCGAATGTATCTTACTGACCTCTTTTTTGAATGGTAGTGTGTACATGTCTATAGTAATACCAATACCAATTTAAAGTACAATAAAAATGTTAGAATCACTTTACTAAGGATTAAGAATAAGAAAAGGATTTCTGATCTGACTTAGTGAAGGATTGAACACTCAAAAGAGGACATTGGTCAAAGGATCAGATTATAAATACAGCTGTGGAAAAAAATTAAGAGGCCACTTGAAAAACTGAGTTTCTCTAAATTTGCAGTTCAGAACGGCAAATTTTTCGTTTTTTAACTAAACTATAATTTTGGACATTTAAACCAACATGATGGAATAACCATGACCTATATTGTAGAATGAACATTCTGCGTTGATTCTGGGATGTTTACATATACATCAATGTTCTCTCTTGAACTGATTCTGAGCTTAGTTTTAACAGCAGATGGCACTCTAAGCAAATTCTTAACCATGCAAATGCTCATCAGGAAGAGAACTTTGTGTTTGGGAAAATGGTTTTATTAGTCTTTTTGTTTGTTTGTTTTAAGTAGTATTTGTGTGAAATCTGATGCAAACAGTTTGGATAATATCGAATAATAGTGGTGGGCAAAGCGAAGCTTTATGAAACACTGAAACAGTCGAAGCAAATGTGTCGAAGCTTCGAAACAATTCGAAACGCATCTCTACAGTGACACCTAGTGGTCATTTTAGATGTATTTCAGTGGAATTGCTTCAGCAATGCAAATTGAGGTATTAAACTACACGTCATAGAGTTGAGGTTTCAAGTAATATAGTGAAGTGGTCAGAGTTCATGGCTAGCATGCAGAGATAATGGGTTCGAAACCAGGGTGATGCAACAACAGATGTTAGTTTTTAAATGCTTTGTTCTTGTAACGTGCTTTGTTTTGACACCGAAATGAACACTTTGTGAATAA